TAATTTGCTCATTTGGAAGCACGTATAAATGTGAGCAAGGATTTTTTCAATTATGAAAATTAATAATAAAAATAAGCATTGTACTCGGCGCACAGATGTTAATTATTTAGAGAACACTTTGCGCCTATGTACTTGATTCCAATATTGATCATCTTGTTTCTCAGCTTTAAACTCAAGTCTCTCATTAATTTTTATTTGATTTTTCTATATTTTTTATTAACTTGCATTTTATATGTTTCATTGAGCATAATCATTATGCTATTATAATTAATAAATAAAAAGTGTGTGAATATTTGTCGTTTTTTTTGTTCACTACTACCTACTTATTTCTTGCCTACGTCCCGCGACCTAATTAATTCCCGAAATTACTCCCTCAGCTAAGCAAAGGTTGCCCATACCTGGTCTAAAGTAACAAACCTGTCATTTAATATCAGCGGAAAACGTCAATTTTGGAATGAGATTCCAAAGCATAAAATACTAGGTACATTAGATGATGACAGTAGAAAAAAAAGGCTAATTATTTTAGTTTCGTAACTAGAAAGACAATACGTTTCATTAATTGTAAAAGATATGATATTACTAAATCATTTATAAATAGTAACAACAAAGTCTAAAAAATATTTCCTTTTATCCTACTTACAATTATCGAAACTAAAATGTGCTTCTTTCAATTGAGTACGGTTTAACAATGGTTGTTGAAATGCGGTATAAACATTTGTAATTTATATTAAATGATATCAATATATTTGCAGCCTCTGTTTCATTTCCTCTAATTTCAACCTATCAGAATATAAGTACTGTAATCTTTATTGTGACTGGAATTTTAATCTCTTTATTTTTCAGTAGAAAATGTCTTAACAAATACAATTACGCAAAGTAGTATAAAGATAATATACTACATATCGTTTACATGTTAAGGCAATTCAATTTTTTTCTCAAGTTTCTGAATTAAAACGTTTTTTGATAACGCCTAAAATAGGTACTCACAATTGTTATGGGTTTAAAATATTTTGAAAATATAATGAATACTTTTTAGAATAAATAGATCAGATTTTACATCCAATTAAAATTTTGTAAATTTGAAATGATTTATTCAAAATTTTAAAATTAATATTAGTTCTAGTCCATGTTCTCCTTTAGTGATACTACTGCGTTTTTATAACATTCTAATTGGTTTAAGAAAATTGTTTGTTCTATTTCAAATTGAAATTAATTGATGAAGAGCAGCATATTTTTATGTGGACTTTAAAATGCATGAGAGTAAATTATGTAGACCTATTTAAATACGTATTATCATGATGTGTAACTAAATTGTTAGTTTTGTACTTTAAAAATGATAAATGATAAGATTATATTACCTAGTATTGCATAGTTTTAGTATTTTTACTGTTTGTGGTAAAATAGGCTATTTGACATATCTCAAAAATAATATGTTTATCAATTTTGTAGAAGCTAAATCGCTACATTTAAAAGGTAGACTCAATTTCATTAAATAAGAGCCTAGTACGTAACAGTCATATATAGGGTGATTGTTCATGAGTGTATCTCGAAAACTATAAGGAATTAAAATCTGAAAATTTGGAGTAAGGAGTTTTTGGTCAAGCCGAATTAAAATAAAGTATTTGTGATATTGAACCATTTCCAGTTATACTGAAAGTTAACATTTATTTGAAACATAACACCCTGTATATTATTTCTCATTTGGATTTAGCTCTCCTTAGCAATTCTCCCAATATAGGGCATGATCAGATTATACTGAGTGTTTAACGAAATCTGGCCATTTCTATTATCAAATCGTTACCAAATTGACACCCTGTATCTTTTGCTATAATTAGATTTTAAATTTCATTTGATCGCTGTGCATTTCTAAATAATTAATAAAACTTGTTGCTATTAGTGAGTTATAGGTAAAAACTATTTTTAAATATGAAAGGGATAAACTATACAGCCTGGCAAAAGCGCTCCAGGCAACGCATGTCGGTTCATTTACGAAATCGCTACGCGCTATGTTTCTTTACAATATATGACCGGGTTTAAAGGTTAATGAATATATCTGTTGTTTCTATAATCTAAGGGTTTAACCCGAAAATAATATTCAACTAAATTGACAGTGTCATATAAATCAATAACATATGATACAATTGAACATTTAAAAACATAATAAAGGTCGATTCACCACAACATCAAATAAGACATTTCGTAACTAGTTTCATAAATAGCTATTACGATAAAAAACATAGAACATGTATGGTCATTTTAATTTTTTTGTAATGTAAAATAATACACTAATTACATCTATAAAATTTTGTAGAAAATTAAAATCAACTGTTTTGTAAAATAATTAGTATTTTTATTATTTGATTATTTTGATTAATCGATTATTTAGATATTTCAATTATTCGTTTATTATAAATAATCGATTTTATTTATTTTGATAATCGCCTAGCCCTTTTTTGTATACAAATAGTATCCTTAAAAAAGTACTTTTTTAATTTCTAAACGATTGACTTTAGATAAAGCAGTGGCGTAGGTTTTGGGGTTGATGCGGATGTTTTACCCCTAATTTCTACGCCACTGGAAAAAAATACGTGTGGCACTTGGGGACTGCCGCGGTAAAGCTATTGCATAGCATTTTTTATCAACTTATGCAATTATAAATATTTATTTATTTTATTTATGCAGTATTTTTTTCTTTGATATTAATTCAAGTTTTTTCTATGATATTAATTCAAGTCACACTTTTTGAGCGTGGTGACGGATAAGAGAACAATTTTTTTTCTTTTATTGAATAAATGAGAAGTTAATATTGTTTAAAATATATTTATTATCTTACAATACATGTAGGTTATTCAGGAATTTTTATCATTGAAACTATAGGTTTATGGTAACTGAAATAAGAAACATAAGTTTGAGACTTATCCTCTAAATATCTGGAAAATACCGCGTCAATGGTGGTCCCATATTTTGTTGTGGATTCTTGTGGATCATTATTTATTTTCTATGCAATTTTATCGATTTTTCGATTCTTCGATTCTCGATTTTTCGATTTTTCGATTTTTCGATTTTTCGACTTTTCGATTTTTCGATTTTTCAATTTTTCGATTTTTCGATTTTTTGATTTTTCGATTTTTCGATTTTTCGATTTTTCGATTTTTCGATTTTTTGATTTTTCGATTTTTCGATTCTCGATTTTTCGAATTTTCGATTTTTCCTTTTTTCCATTATCCCATTTTTTCATTTTTCGATTTTTTGATTTTTCGATTTTTCGTTTTTTTTTATTTTTCGATTTTTCGATATTTCGATTTTTCGCTTTTTCGATTTTTCGATTTTTTGATTTTTTGATTTTTTGATTTTTTGATTTTTTGATTTTTTGATTTTTTGATTTTTTGATTTTTTGATTTTTCGATTTTTCGATTTTTCGATTTTTCGATTTTTCGATTTTTCGATTTTTCGATTTTTCGATTTTTTGATTTTTCGATTTTTCGATATTTCGATTTTTCGCTTTTTTGATTTTTCGATTTTTTGATTTTTTGATTTTTTTGATTTTTCGATTTTTCGATTTTTCGATTTTTCGATTTTTCGATTTTTCGATTTTTCGATTTTTCGATTTTTCGATTTTCGATTTTTCGAATCTTCGATTTTTCAATTTTTCGATTTTACGATTTTTCGATTTTTGTTAGTGAGTCGTAGAAAAAATATACTGTATAACTCCAATGGGCTCGAACTTACTCGTGGACGCGGCCAAAAAGCACGCTGTCTCACCTAGCATTGTGTCTAAAAGAGATAGAATCAGTTATGAGCAGTTAGCAGCTAGTCTACAGGCATACGTCTAGTCGCACGCATACAAACACCGTGCCGAAGTCTGCCGAACTGAAACGACGTTAGACAATGCAGACAATGGTTTATTTTCGCGGAATTTCTTGATTCGATCGCCGCGCTCAAAGCCCGCGATAAAAGCTATGCAATAGCTTAAAAATTCATATCTAATATTTACGCCAGCCTGGAACATTTGTGATACCAATTTATTAGAAGCCAGAGAAAACTCTTCTAGTTCTTGTATTGCATAAATGTTCCAGTCCGCAGACGTATATTTAACTCTGCTTCATACTAATACGAATAGGGTCGGATAAAAACTTCCATGGCTTTAACGCCGCACCGCTGTGCCGGTCGGAGTGGGGGGTGTTAGGTTTATTTTCGTTACGATGTTACGAAATTTCTTGATTCGGTCTCCGCTCAAAGCCCGCGATAAAAGCTATGCAATAGCTTAAAAATTGTTTAAGGGAAATATTCAAAAAGTTTGGAGTTTTTTAACTACATAAAATATTACTTTAAATAATTTTTAAAACATACAGATAAAAAACATGGAACATGTATGTTTATTACATTTTTTGTAATGTAAAACAATACACTCATTACATCTTCAAAATTTTGTAGAAAATTAAAATCCATAGTTTTGTAAAAAAAATCATTTTTAATTAATATGCCATACTCACATGGGTTAGATATTCAAAATCTGGTAGACGTATCTGGTCAATTAATAAAATTATACAATATTTTCCTGGCTAAAATAAAATATTTATCTTCTTATTAATTTTTTTGGCTGCCGAAATCTGAAGTGTCAATCAAATAAATATAAATTATTTATATTTTAATATTTTATCGTTGACCTTATAATTACCAGAAACAAAAAAATATAAATATCTCGTTTTTTCTATTTTGCTTTACTTTTTAATTAATAAATAAGAAGTTTATTTGTTCAGAAAATAAATTATATTTAATTACTGAACCAAAAAAAGAAACAAGATAAATTTGAATGTTTAAATTATCATAAACCCAAAAATATTCAATTTGTATTCATGAGAAATAAGGATTACCTACGTATTTCTACAATAATTAGTTAAAATACCTATATGTTCTAAAGCTGATAATGTATCAATTATTACCAATTACATTTAAAATTAATATTTACATAGTGTTTAAATTTTAAATTTTTATTTCAGATAAAGACTGATACACCGATCTTCCAAAATGTCTATAATCAATGTCCGGAACAAAATTACATTCTTATTTCAAAATTATCAAAATGGTATTGTTTCCCTTTTACCAAACGCCTTTGGAAGCAAAAGAAGATACAGTGTTCAACTGACAACAGCAAGAAAAAGAAATCTTCTGAGAGAAACAGATAGATTAGGAAAAATTGTAAGGAATCTAGGAGGGGGAATTGTCAAATCCCCATTGGGTGATAGTGATCCCATACCAAACCAAAATCTTGTAGAGTATGTTTTTAAAGATGTAGATGAATGGTCCGACCAAATTGCAGCAGTAAGTATTTTTTCACCATCTTGCTAAATAATTCAGAAAGAATTTGTTTTCAGAGTAGTTAGTTATAGTGCGATAAGTAGATTAATACAAAATTATCTTGAATTTTGGTTGTTATTGAATGATCATACAGATAAATGTTTTTAGACATGTGCCGTAACGGGTCGAAATTATTCGTATGGAATGTTAAGAATGCTTGTCAACAGGTTTGCACAAGCTGTATTAGCTCATTGTGGAATGAAACCGAGAGAAGTTGTGGGACTTTTGCTACCTAATATACCTGAATTCGTTATAGTTTGTCACGGTGCTATGGAAGCCGGACTCATAGTTACTTTTGCTAACCCCTTGTACACACCAGGTGAATATTTTTCTTGATTATTATATAAGTAGATGTAGTTAGTTTTATTAGTGTGAATGTCCAATGTTTCAATAACCATTTGGATTACAATAAGGATTTTATTTTCAGATGAAATTAAAAGGCAATTTGAAAATGCTGGTGTCAAGATGATTGTAACTGTTCCTATACTCTTAGAAATTGCAACTACAATTGCACCAAATCTTCCTGGATACAGAACGACAGTATGTATCGGTGGAGAAGACGACATTGCAAAAAATATTCATGGCTTGCAAACTTTACTCACAGGTTAGTTGAATATCTCCACAGGTTTTTCTTTTACCAGTTAATAATTGAATAAATTTCTCTGATCGATATCTTCGAAATTTAATATCATTTGTGTTTTTAGCTGGACATGAAAGTGACCTACCAGGTATATCTCCTAAAGAACTTGCTTTGCTTCCTTACTCTAGTGGCACAACTGGTCTACCTAAAGGAGTAATGTTATCACATTATAATTTAGTTGCCAATTTAGTTCAAGGAGAGAGAGAAGACTTAATGATGAAACGAAGAAAAGGTAGGAAAATACAAACAATACAATTCGTATTTAATAAAATTAATGCGTGAAATCACCAATGTGAACCTGATAAGCTTGATTATTTTCCTCGCCTGTCTAGTTTGACAATTTAACCAATCATATTATATCGCAATTTATGTTATCGTTGCAACCAATTAGAACGAAATAAATCGACTATTTTCAATGACTATCTCATATCGACTATCATGCTAATGCATGGTGCTTGGATCTTGATATTCACCTATCGAGGGCCACAACTGTGGCCACAACGCAGGACTTCGTAACTAACATTTCCACTAAAAATTATATTTTATGATAATCTCGTTTAAAACATTTCGCTTCATCTACTGTATAGGCAAAGTATTATAGTTTTTGAGGTTTGCAGTTTTTATGCGATCTTCTTTGATTAGCGCACCAACGCTGCGATGTGGATCTCTTGAGAGAGCTTTTTGAAGCTTCGCTGCCTGCGGGAAATCTTCTATTTTTTATTTTATTTTCTATTCTCCGAGGTGAGATTTGTATGTATCCCAATACTCATGAGTTTTGTGGTTCTTGCCTTATTAAACGATTTCCTAGCCATCTTCCTGAGGTGATCCAACTTGGCACTACCATGCGTATTGTTTATTGTGCTTTGGATAGTGTTTGAGTACTTTTCCAAAGCATTGTTATTGTCTAGTGGTTCGGCTTCCACCTCTCTCAGAGCCTCTTGGAGAAGGTGAGCATAGGTTGCCCTGTCCGTCCTCCTACGGTTCTGAGATAGCGTGGAGGTCGGCAACATCAAGTTTATTTTGAATGTTAACCAGGGGTGGTCTGACATCGAAATGTTATCAGACTCTGGCCAGTTGTGGGTAAAGTGATATCTATATTAGTGTTTGATTGCAAGAGTTTAAAAATATTGGTATAGTACTTTTATTTATAATAAAAAGATTTTGGGTAATTATATAATCCTAAAGTGACTTACTTCTAGCGTTGTTATCCTTACTGCTCCAACTGAAGTGATGTGCATTTGAGTCGCAACCTATTACCAGCTCAAATTTTTGGTTCAGGCAGTATTCAATAGGAGGATCCTCCATTTTTTTGCTGGGTTGTGGCGTGGTTGCGTCGGAAGGGAGGTACACAGATTCCATGATCAGTTTTCTATTCCCTTTTGATGGCGTGTCTTAACCGCAGTTAAATTGTAGGTGAAAAGGTGCGTCATTGAGTGAGCTTTGTATTTCCCAGGAATGTAAATTGCTGTCCTAGGTTGTTGGTTGCTGGGAAAGCTAAAAATTGAACAATTTAGATTTTTAAGTCCTAAAATTTTGGCTTCTATTATCCAGGGATCCTGGATGAGTGCTATTTTATTCTTGCAGCTCATCAAGGCTGTGGCAAAATGTTGTCGTCCCTACCCTTTTGTGTTGCAAGTCACATTGTATAACTGTTATCTCTTTAATTGCTTCCCGGTCTCCCATTGAAGTTTGAACAACAAGGTGGTTATTTATTCTACCATCCCTTCCCCCAAAAGTGAGGAGGGGGTGATCTCGTGTAGCTCCTCGGAATTTTCTTGCTGGAGGTCATCAGTTGCCTCGTTCCTACATTGAATAAGAGCATCTGAAGGGCATTCCTCCAATTCATTTAATTCATACATCACCCACAGCATGCAGTATTTTCAGATACAGTTTTGTTTGATTAGCGTCTGTTGGAATAAAAGATGATTGTCATTGGTTGATTTAAATAATCGTTAATATTTTAATCAGGGCTATATTTTCAGTTACAACAAATAGTAATTTTCAAAAATGTGATAAAATTATTGACGAATTCATTTAGTTAGTATCATCAAAAGTATTCAACAGCGTTCTACATTATTAAAAAAAAATCCACTTTCCCCGTTTTGTATAAATGATAACTTAGAGAGATGTTATGATGTAAATGACTTTTTCAACGATAATGCTTAACAAAACACAGTTATCTTTTGTGTAAATAAGTTTGTTATTTAAATAGGTTTAGTTAAATGTTATTTTCCACTTTAATTATTAGGTTTTTGATTGCGCAACCTAATAGTAATCACCATTTTATTTACTACAGTATAGGTGGAAAAGAAAACATTATTAACAAGTATTTACTAATATAAAAAAAGACTAGTAGATAGTAAATTTCAAAGAAGAGTTAACAAGGAATACCTAATAGATTGAAGAAAAAATATTTTAAATCATATATTTATTGCAAGAAAAAATGTCCAAGCTATTTTGAATTTCAAGATAATTGAAAATTGCCCGATACATCGGATATCAGTTCAAAACATTAATTCTAGCTAATAGAAACTTAAGTAGTCATTCAAAAATTATTAAAAAATACTTGACATTTCAAAAGATCACTAAGATCGAATCTTGTGATACGTTTGTTTATCCACTTCGGATGTATCTAAGATGTTGTGAATCTATGATCACGTGATTCTAGATACGTGAATGAAGCTCAGTGATAGCAGGTGCATAAGTGCTGTAGAGCTGCAGAACTGCCAAACAAATGTTAGTATCTCAACTATCTCATCTACATTTTCCAAATTATTTTAGACTATGAAATATACGTAAAACCAATTTTATCGAAAATCTCTATATCTTTAATTATTAAATAGTATCCATAGCATGCGACCGTATCCTACTGTCAGTTCATAACTGAGAAAAAGCCCAGAGCGGATCAGTGAAACAAAAGCTCGTTAAATCATATTCATCTCTTAGCTGGGTCGCTTCGAGAGGGCCTGGGCATCGCTTGTGCCGCCCTCGCTCATCGTCTCACCTTCCTGCGGCTCTCTAAAAAGTAACGCCAGGACATGTAGTGGCGAGCTTTGTTTATAGTCTGTCGATTATGTGATGTGATTCGACTTCGGTTTTGTAGATTCTTGGTTGGTGTTGGTATTATTGGTAGCTGTAGCATGTAGCTGAAGCAGATGTGTCCGATGTGAATAAACAAACACTCGAAAGGTAAAAAATGCATCGGATATCTAAAATGAATGTATAAGATTTCAAATAAATGTTATGCACTGTATTCTAAACTACAAAACAGCACTCAAGTTTTAAGCAAAACATACAACATTTTATGTGAATATATGTATCTCGGAATTATTTACAGCACGTTATAATAAACCATAAGCTATTGTTTGTCAAAATTTAGTTCAGGATCGAAATAAACTACGAGATATTTTACAAATAAAAAAGCCATATGTTGATCATAATATTGGAAAAACGATAGTAAACTATTAACATTATAAATTAATATATTACTGGTCTTTTCCAGATGGAACCCGACACTGCGTTCTCACAGTACTGCCATTCTTCCATATTTACGGCTTCAACGGGATCTTAAATATAGTACTCAGAGACGGTCATCATCTGGTTACACTTCCAAGATTTACTCCAGAAGATTACGTTAAAGCCTTATCAACTTACAAACCGACTTTCTTATTCGTGGTACCATCGCTTCTTTTATTTTTGGCTTCACATCCAGTTGTAACCAAGGAGCATTTGCATTCGGTGGAAGCTATTCAGTCAGGAGCAGCTCCGCTTACTGAGGGGCTTTTGCAGAAGTTTAGAACGAAGATTGATAATTCAGAAGTTATTATACGACAAGGTCAGTTAGATTTGTATGCGGTGGATCTTTAAGAACTCAACCAAATTCCTCGAAAGATCAAGAATCATTATTTACCTTTTTAGGATATGGTATGACTGAAAGTGCTCCGGTAACATTTGTCATGCCTAGATTGACACCTCCATCAAAAATAGGAACAATAGGTATTCCATACCCAGGAACTGAGGCCAAAATACTTTGTTTGAAAACCGGAGAAACCCTAGGAACCCACAAATCTGGGGAGTTATTAGTAAGAGGACCACAAGTAAGTAAATATAGAAAATTAAATTATTTTGTGACGATTTATAAAAACATCCAATGTCTCAAATGTAATATTTCTTATTGTTTTAGGTGATGATGGGATATTTAAATAATGAGAAAGCAACAGCTGAAACCATAGATGAGGATGGCTGGTTACATACCGGAGATGTTGCTTATTATGATGAAGATGCTTATTTCTATATTGTAGATAGATGTAAAGAATTAATCAAAGTTAAAGGAAATCAGGTACGTATTTTAAATTCGATAATTAAATCAATAAATAAAGTAAGCAGCGATAACAAAAAAGCAAAGTAACAACCCGAAAAGATAATTTATCAATTACAGATTCTTAGTAGGTATATACTGTATGTACTGTTATTACAGAAGATTGTGAGGATTATTTACTAGTAAAATTGATCGCTTAAAATGAAAATGTTTAATTCACTTGGATTAACTAGATTTTAATTGGATCTACGGGACACTAATTGTTTCCATCTTACCTAATGTTAATATCCATTCATCTTTTGTTAGATCATTTTGTCAAGTTTACTCTTAGAAATTACTTCTCTCTCGAAAATCACAGAACATATATGATATGAATGGTTTCCTTCTATTCACAATCTCTTCTGTCAATATGTTGTTCGATAAAACTACATTCTTATGTTACTACTTATCCCATTTTAAGAGATACTTTGCAAAATCAGGCATTTCGGCATTGTCCCTTTGACAAATGCACAAAATTTACTCTTTTCAACTATCTATATAGTTGGCTTGCATTCAAATCCATCCATATTCTATCTTCCCTTTGAAATAATATTTGCAGTGATTGTGTATAGAAGGTTTAACAGGATTACTAGGACTGGAATTGGAGTTGTTGTCACTCACGTGGTTATGCTTGCATTTGAACAGTTAGAAGACTTTGAGCCAAAAAAATAATTAGTTGTAGTCTTCAATTGTTCCACACACCCTTCCTTTAACCTTATTGTAAGTTTAGAGTTCTTGTCTCCCTATGGTATCTGTAAGGGATGATTATATGCCCTACATCACTTATACCTCCCAAGCGTCCTCCAGAGACATTATGGATCTCCCGTCAAGATGCCAACGGATTGATAATGCTGCCGAGACGTGTCTAGGAATTACATTTCAGCTCGTCAAAAAGCTTCTTGGTTGATAATGTCGCCGATAGGTGTCTCTAGACGTCCCCTATCTTTTAGTCGCCACTTACGATAGGCAGAGCGATATTATTTAATAGGTTTCAACCACCCCGATGGTAAATTCCCGTGTGGACATATTTTGTCCGCCCAATCGTCAGGTGTGGATGAAAACACATATATTGTTTATACTATAGATACTGTTACGCAGCACCGTGCAGCGTGCTGCGGTCGTCATAAGTAAAGGTACGAGTAAAATAAGAAGGCGGAATATTCGAGAAATGTCATTCCGCGTCAAGAAAAATCTGGACAGTTCGAGAAGGTGAAAGTAAGCTATATAAGTCGGTGATCCTGACGTCAGGCAGTCAGTTTGATGATAGACGTTATACGTTAATGTTAGTTGTATTGTTATTGTAAAATTTCAGTTGAAATAAACTGATGAAATACCAAAAACCTACGTTACAGTACTATACGTTCAACTTAAAGATAAGAATGATGCAAAAAAGAGTAATCCGCGTGATCAGGACAAAAACCTGTATTGATTTCATGTTTGGAAGCGAGCAGTACAAATTTATAACATCTGTGGATTAAAGATTCACTTTTGTATTGGTGTGTGTGTGTGTTACATTATACAAGTGGTTTGCTGTTATTATTTAATGTTTTCTTTATTTGAATGGCTTTGATTAATATTTTCTTGTAATATAACTGTTAGTTTTAGAAGATTTATGATTTATGTATGTACATGTTATTAATATATTTACTAGGATTGTGCTGAGAACCCTTCTTTGAATCAGACAGTATTGCCTCGGCTAACGACTGCAAAAGATCTTTAGAAAAGCATACCACATAATTTTAATTAGAATATTAGGAAAATATTTTTATTTTCTTTAATAAATGTTGCATTTAGGTTCATCCAACTGAGTATATATGGGGTATTAGAGCACCCCCACTGTGATAATACTATCAGGTACTTTACTTTTGTTAAAGAAAATGGAAATATTTTTCTAGTATCCTACTATATTAAAGTGCCAATGTCTGTCTGTCCGTGCCGCGATCTCGGGATAGAGAAAGCCAAAACCTCGGACTCAGATATAAGCTAGGGACACTTAGAGAAGCAAAATGACACCAAAATCAAGGTACCTACTTTTGTGGTTCCCGAGATATAGAATTAGGTCGAAAATTTAAATGAATTAAATCGCCTAGATGTCAAATTATAAATTACGCGCCTTGTGTAACTTTTGAAATCTCAAAATTTGAAGCATCGAAGACGCTCGGTCCCCAATTCCAATATTACCCCTTCGAAATAATGAAAATTATATTTGAACTCCCAAAAAGAAAACAAATTTAATGAAAAAACCCTGCCCGCGGGGGATTCGAACCCACCTACTCCTGTTCTACGCAGTCGCTCTTCCAATCAAGCTATCACTGACATCGTTAGAGATTTAAAAATTTTCAAGATGAACATAAGATTTTAAATTCAACCTCACGTTTCAGAAAATTTACTGTATCGTTTAAGGAAATATGCAACCGCATGCAGACATTTCCTCAGGTCGTCTGAATGTATTAAGTTTTCAATATACGTAACAACACAAACAAATATATAATACTGCGAATAATACTAAGAAGCGCGACTGTGCGTAGCACAGGAGTAGGCGGGTTCGAGAATTTGAAATAAGTATTTCAAAGTACCTCCGAAGTATAGAAGTATATCGAAGTATCTCGAAGTAACTGAAAGCATCTCGAGGTACCTTGAAATACAACAAGTCTTCGGACTAATTCGAAGTAGGTGTACACATTTCGGCATAATTCCTCTAAAATAAACAATATTATTACGGGATAAAAAAATTAAATTGCAAAAATGATCGGAATTAAAAAAGAATAAAAAAAATTGTATTATTCGAAAAGTGGATATACATATACATAGTACGTTTTAACAGTATAATTTCTATATTTATGTAACAACATTTTAATTGTTGTTTTTTGAATAATTGTAATAAACGTTTGACAGTTTTCATATTTTTAATACTTTTATGTTAAAAATTATTAGTTAAACAGGTTAAAAGCGATGGTATGATGACTAATTTTTAAAGTTATATAAAATATATGAGATGATTTAAAATAAAGTCGTAAAAATATAAAGGCAATAGGTTTACAGGTAAGTTATTTCTTATTTCATTATAAATTAAATTTAAATATGTTTTGTCACAATTTCGAAAAGGTATATTTCTGTTAGTCATTTCTAACATTCAAATATAAAGTTTAAAAAATAAAATTTGCATAAGAACAATAATCATGATTCAAACCATACTATTTAATTATACATTCACTTTAAATTGGTTAATAACTATAGTTGATTAACCTAATAGTGCATTATGCATGACTACGGACAAGCCACTCATAATAAAGGGTGTCTCAGAAAATATTTTCGTTTAATAATCCGTTCGCTGGCGCAAAAGGCACATTCCCGAGAAAAAAGGCAGTTGGCTAACGATGGTCGTCAGTTTAATTTAATTTCCAGTACTCTCAAACTTTCTTAACCAATATTTATTAAATTTTCAGTTGGGACATCATTCATTCTTGCTATGTTATACTGATTTCTGTACAAAAACGACGCACAAGAATATAAGAATCATTGTTTTTATAAAACACGAATACAAAAAGCACCTTGCAGCCCTGTAAATCGCTCCATTGCAACTAAAACACTAAAACCTAACACTGTCGACCACCGTTTGCCAACTGCTTCTTTCTCTGGAATGTGTCTATTGCGCCAGCGGAATTATTGATGAACGAAAATATTTCTGAGACACCCAGTTGATAGATTTGTAAAGTTTGCAGTTTATTTTGCAGAATATGAAACAATATTCCTACAAATGATTAAACATATGTACTAATAAATGTATTGTTTGAAGGATAATAATTTTGGTACCTACTTATCAATTTTAAAATTTTGGAACTGATTAAAAAAATGCTGTCCTAATACAAATTGCAAATTTATTTTAAACTTCAAGTTTTTAGAGTGTTCAACAAAGTTAAACAAAGTTTTTGTTAAAAACATATAACGTAGTTCTTAAAATTTCATCCCAGACAGCACACCAAATCCTTTGGATATCTACTGGACATCCCACTATCCACTGAATGTCCAGTCCATGGTGGCTATATATTTTATATCCAAGAGATGTAATTTATAGACATGTAGATGTCCATAAATAATAGTAATTATGTAGCAAATTAGTAAAAAATTACGCCATTGTGGCTAATAGTACCGTTCAGATATTTAAAATTAATTTTTTTAAGGTGTATTCAATATCCCATGGACATCCACTAAATATATCAAAGTCTAGGCGCGAACGCAAACCATGGTGGATATCCACTAGATGTAATTTTTGATTTTGCCCACTAAGAAGAGTCATTTTTGGACCGGTTTCGTCCTTATTAGGACTAGAATTATTTCCTTTTTTAAGAATAGCCCGCCTGGCTTTTATTCCACCTAGTCTCTAAACTAGGTACTACAGCGACCTTTGATTTTGCTTACTAAGTATAGATGGCGATACCACTTTCGCTCGTTAAATATCTACTCATGCTCAACCCGCCGTAATTGAGTTCGATCGAAATTGGTATTGCAATCAGACTCCATTAGAGATTGGAGTCGAGAATTTCTATTTATTGCTGAAGAGTCCTAATAAGGATGACTTTCTCCTTAGTGGACAAAATCAAAGGCAGAGTGTTGAAAATATTTTCTATCTGCTATTTTCTTTCGACGTTATTCAATAATCATTGGTTACTTATAAACCTTAAATATTTTGCTGAATCCATAGAATATCTTCTATATACTGGGATATAGACGGACATTTGAATATCCATATTAGATCCACTGGATATTCACAAAATATATTCTGTGGATATCTCTGAGATGTATTGTATTGTCTGGGAGATACCCATTAGATATTTTGCTGGATATCCATAGGATATCTTCTATATTCTGGATATAGACGGACATTTGGATATCCATATTAGATCCACGGGATATTTTTGATATCCTGTGGATATATTGGATATCCACAAAAGATATTCTGTGGATATCTCTGGGATTTGGTGTGTTGTCTGGGATGGTGCTTTTATATGTATTAAAAAACGTTAAAATTAAATGTAGTTTCTCATTAATTGGTTCAATATTGTATGAGTTTTTAACACTGAAGGAATGGATGCACTGGATTGGAAGGCGTAAAGATTGAAGTAAGTATACCAAGACTTTCTGAGGGCTATGACCAAGACTGGTAAATGATTTATAACCCCCTATGTGCCATCTACCTTAACAAAAAACAAACAAGAAAACAAACAAAAAAAACAAAAAGAACAAAAAAAAAGAAAAACGAAAATAAAAGAAAATACGTATATAGCAACCGCTATTTGTCATACATCATTGGGTGTTTTCACATTAGCCGACACGACACCGGCACCGTGTAAATAAATGGGACTGTTTTCATACTCACTGACATGACGATGTCGTGTCGTGTCGTTGCGGTCACTCCAGTAGTGTTGTCCCAATTTTCATTATTTTTGATGTACATTAGGCGGAGGTTTAAGTGCACGATTTTGACATTGAAAGTTGTACAATTCCAAAATCCCTAGGAACATCACTGATCTCGTCATTCAATGGGGCAGCTTGATTCCTAGTATGAAGACTAGAGAGAAGGAGGCGAATCGGCAATGATCAAATTTCAAATTTCCGTCCTTCTTTTTATAAAGTTCGCGAAATTGACTGTAGCTGGCATGTCGAATGACAGCGGTGTCAATTTTCTATGTAAGTCAATGTAAAATGAAGTGATTTTTTTTAAAAATGGTGAAAAGAATCAAAATAATGTGAAAAAAAGTACCTGAGTACAAATAACATGAGTGACAAACATCAAAGCAAGATTTACGTCGTTCCAGATTGTAAAAGAGGATAAAAATCAAGTGTAAAACTAAAAAAAAACAATAAGAAATCAATTCAATATCTTTTTAAAGCTTCTAATGTAAGTAAAATAATGTATTCATGTCTAAATATAATATTTGTTGTAAAATAGTCACAATATGTATCTTACGAAGTGTAGTTTCTATAATATAAAATTTTACAGTCATAGATACTGACTTACAAACAACAATAATTATGCATTAAATTTTTTTTGGACCCCAATTGTGTCATTGTAAATGTTTTTTATAGGATACTAAACGTTTAGAACAGTGGCAGCATATTTATCGTTCCTAGTACCGATAAAGCACTAACTAGAGATGATGCTGTTCTATACTTTTTAGAAGATATCAAATATTATGAGACTATTTTTACTGATGGTACTGTTAGCAAAATAAAAAGGGGAAAGCTGAAATTAAAGGATGAGGTAATACCTTGTACATTCCCAAATCTCCCTTTACACTTGTGTTATAACCATTAAAAAGCTGTTAACTGTGTTTTATTTTACTCTTAAAACTATATATTGGTTCAACTAAAAAAAAAAAATGCCACAAAATTGTACTTAAAATTTCAGCATTTAAGAAACCTTTTCGAATTTGGTCATACATACTTAATTTGTGTTTTATATAGATAAAATTAAATAATTTATCAATTAAAACATGCAAGACTTATTTAGAAATAAATACAACAGTATGTTCTGTGCTTTATTTAGCTATAAATAAGTTTATTTTTATTATTTTGACAAAATTATGTATAATTTCCATAAGAAGCCATGTATTTTGAACACCGTATCAGCGCCCATGCGGTCAATTATAGAAGCTCAATTAGCATGCGTTTTTTGGGACCGTATTTTGAGTATGCCGATTCGCCTCCTTATCTTTAGTCTTCATAATTCATAGTATTACCTCATTTACTTCTTCGAGATCGCTTTCCAGAGCAAGTGGGTGCCTGGGCCCCTTTTTTGTCTGAATACGTACTAATTTTGTTTTAGAATGGTGCTGTATTTGTCCCAGTCTGTTTTTCTAGGATTCCTTCTGAGGATCGCCTCAGGAGTGTCGCTCTCTAACGTAAACACAATTATCTTGTGATCTGATAGAGATGATTGACTCAATACTATCCAGATTGTAACTAGACCTTTAATGCTGCTCGGTGTACTTAATGTGATATGTAATACCTCACTTCTTGCCCTTGTTACAAATGTTGGTGTATTCCCAATATTTCGCACAATAAGGTTTTTATTAAAAATATATTCTAGAAGGTTGGAGGAATTTTGTTAGAAATACGTTGTTCGAAGCACGTTTGTTCGAAAATACGTTTGTTCGAAAAAATTATAATCGAAAATACTTTCAATCGAAAACTTTAAATATTAGTTCGAACAATGCTTGTTCGCAAAAAGTGGAAAAGCGATTTTATGGTTGAATCTAAATTTAAAATATATTCAAGAAAAATAAATTAAAGAAAATAGAAATATTTTCTTAGTGTTCCAATTAAAATTAAAAAAAAAATAACTAATTTACCTAACCGATGCGGATTGCTTATTAGCAAAAATATATACATAAAATAAGAAAAATTTAAGAAAATCGTAACTAATTGACCTAACCTGTGCGGCCTGAAGTCATCACGGGTTGATTCGCAAAAAAATATACAAAAAAATAAGGAAAAATAAAAAAAGTCTTAAATAATTTACCTAATCTCTGCGGGCGTGGAGTCATCGCGGTTTGCTTTATTATACATAAAATGAAAAAATTTAAAAAGAAAAACGTATCAAAAGTATTTTCAAGCTACACTTTGTCTAACAAAACACTAAGATTTCCGAACTAAGATTTTTCGCAAAATTATATTTTCGAACTAGGATTTTTCGAAGAAACGTATTTTCGAACTAAGGTTTTTCGAACAAAATTTCGCCAACCATTCTAGAAGTTGCTCACCTCTTGGATTGGTGTCATTGCTTCCCCATATGGTGCTGTGCGTGTTGGCGTCGCATCCAAGAAGTATTGGCAGATTTCTTCTCTGGTAGTACTACACTAGCCTCGGTTCCTTCCATGCTCGAATTGGGACGAGATCATGCGTCATGAATACTGAAAGACAAGAATATTTAAGGAGGTCCTTTCGCCACCAATGTTAAATAAAACATATTAGATTATGACTAAAATTAATTTTTTTCTAGTAGTAGATGTCCTTATTTATCTAATAGTGAACTTTTAACTATACCTTACCGTCCAAATTTTTGAGAATTTTTTTTTTAAAATGTGTGTGTTTGTACAGTGTCTTATGAGAAAGTAAGACTTCAACAACAATTTTCGAATTATAATTAATTTTACTATTATTTATTGATTAGATGGAGTAGAAAAAAACTAAAAATAAGGTTTTTGAAATATTTAGGTTTTGTTTTTTACAATAAAATATATAGGTTACCGTGGAATTTATTGAGAAATTATTATTAAAAAATTTTCAACTAGGTTACTTGAAAATTTTTTGTGATTTTTTAATATTAATTTCTCAAGTTCCACGGTTTACTATATATATTTTATTGTATAAAACAAAATCTAAATATTTCAAAAACCTTAAAACCTTATTTTTAGTTTTTTTCTACTCCATCTAATCAATAAATAATAGTATAATTCGAGAATTGTTGTTGAGGACTTACTTTCTCGTGAGGCACTGTACAAATACTCACATTTAAAAAAAATTCTCAAAAATTTGCAAGGTAAGGTATAGTTAAAAGTTCAGTGTTAGATAAATAAGGACTTCAACTATTAGAAAAAAATTAATTTTAGTCATAATCTAATAACTTTTTTTTTAACATTTGAGGCAGAGGTGTGGCGAAAGGACCTCCTTAATATTATTTCTTAACAATGCAAGTTCTGGGTACTTCATCACTATATAGTGTGATAAATTACCCTTGCGCCTTTACATGCAAGTCCTCTTACCTGGTTTCCTTAGGCCCATGGTTCCTGGATCAGTACGATCTCTAATTGGTCTTTGTTGAATGTCCTGGAGATCAAAGCCGATGCTCCCTTGGTGCGATGGACATTCACTTGGGTGATGTTAATGCCCGCCATTTTAGTTACCATCGATCAGGGTGTCTTCCCCACTAACAATACAAATAAGAAATGAATTCAAAATTACTTCACTAGATTCCAGGCGCAAAATTATATGTATTCTATGTATAAAATAATTAATGAAGGACCAAATGAACTCTCCGGATCTCTTTGCACTAGTACCATTTTCTCTTCCTCCACGTCCAATGGGGGACTATAAATATATTTTATTCCTTTTACCTCAACAACATCCAGAACATCTCTCCTAATAGACTGAGAGCTAGCGGCTGCAAGATGGTAAGATCGTACCCTCCGGCAGGAATTTTGTGAAGTGGTACACAGGCCCATCAGAAAGTGTCATCTGCAAGGATTTAGTTTAAACCCCCTACAAATGAGACGTCAGACGAAAAAGTTAATAAAATGTTTTTGTTAAAATTTACAATACACATATTTAATTAGAAGTTTCTTGACATGACCCATTAGCTCAGTTTGTAATATTATTATGCTAAATAAAATGTATTTAAAATAAATAAACAACAATAGTACGTATTTTTTAAATTTTATTTCCAAAAATAAAAAAACTGTGAAATGCACATTCTACTGCTTATTCAGTGCCTACAAACTGAGATCGGGTCATGTAAGTTTTCTAATGAAATATTTGTATTGTAATTTTTTTAGCAGATATTTTTACAACTTTGAGCTGCCCGACGTCTTGTTTGCAGATGACACTTCCTGATGGTCCCGCCTACCACTTTACAAAATTCCAGCCAGAGTTATGATCGTACCATCTTGCGGCCTCTAGCTCTTAAGACTATAATGATGCTTTGTTGAGCATACTATGTCAATATACTGTTAAATGTAAATTGGTACATAAAATATGGTAAATTCTGGAAACAAATTGTTGCCCATATTTGCAATTTGGCTATTTAAACTTATGTGTCGTGCGTTGATGTTTATAATGGCATCTATTAATGTCTTTTAATAATAATAATAATCTTTATTTTGAGGAACAATCATAATACATATAAGTACGACAATTCTTAAACAAAACAGTGTCAAGGAAAATATATTAATGATCACATAGAGTAATATTCATTAATTGTATGTGGTTCTAAATTAATTAACAATTCATGTACTTCCCTTTTAAATACTTTAACATTAACTAATCTTTTTATTGCATCAGGCAGTTTATTGTACAACTTTACACAGCTGTACCCTGCTCCATGTTCTGTATAGCTGTCAGCCTATGTATTGGATATACTAGGTTTATATTTCTCAATATATAAGCATTTGTTGGTTCAAAATTTGAAAATAAACCTATTTTTAAATAAAAAAGTTAAGCATTCCTGGATGTATATGCCTATCACAGTTAAGATTTTATTTTCTCTAAATTTACCTCTACACGACTCTCTCATATTCAAACTGAGCATAATCCGCATTATTCTTTCTTGCACTAAAAAACCCTTTCAATTGAATTGCTCCCACCATAGAATATTATCCCATATCTAATTCTGGATTAAAAATTTGCAAAGTATACCATTTTTAAACTACCCCATTCCAAATATTTTTTCACAACTCTGATGTTGCAACAGATCTGGCTCAGTTTTGTACATACAAACTCAACATGGCTTTCCCAGCACTGAAAACTATCAATATATAGCCCCAGAAACTTGGTACTAGTTGAGACCTTAAATATACAGTTTAGTTAAATATTTATTGGCATTTCATCTCTGTTGTAATTGGTTTTAAAAAGTATTAATTTATTTCAAACCATTTTTTAGCTTTAGTTATCTCTCTCTCTCTCTGCATTTAGGGTTAATTCCATCATATTAGATGCATTTATTAAGATATTTGTGTTATCTGCATAATTGGTTAGCACACAGTTCTCATTAGCCATCATAACGCTGTTTAGTTCATTCACATAAATAAAAATCAATGGACCTACTATACTTTCCCGAGCTATTTCTATATTAGATGTTATTTCTACAGATCTACCTTCCTCATTATTTTTATATATTTTGACAACCTGTTTCCTATCCTTAAGATATGATTTGAATCACCCTAATGCAGGCCTCCTAATTCCATATTTCTCCAGCACTATCCCATGGTCTAGACAATCGTAGGCTTTGGACAAGTCCAAGAATATTTTAATAAGCATATTTGGATAATATATAAATATGTAATTATTTGGAAAAATATGTTCATGAAAAAGTTGGATGAATGTGTGCACATTAACAAATTTTCTATACCTTTGATTAATGTTATTAACGTGCCCTAATCTTCCAGAAAGTGTACCACAAATAAAAATGTATGTTGAAATAGGGAATAATAATCAAAAACATTTTATTATTAATAAAATCTTATATTTCTAGAAGTGCACCTGTATACAAATATAATTAAATGTATTAAACAAATACTTTATTCTCATTTACAATTCTTAGATATTAGAAAAATCTGAAATAAAATTTGGCCTTACGAAAAAGGTTTTTCTGCTACAAATAAATAAAACATATTTCGAAAATGGCTAAAAAGTAAAGACAATTTACCATTTTAAAGAACCTACATTATAATTTGTAATGAACTTAAATGTACTTTATGAAATTTTTAAAAATTGTAATTAAAATAATCGTTTATACTGGTTTTTTAGGTCACAAACCTGCATAAAAATGCAAATTTTAGTCTAGTATTTGACAAATAAAGAAACACTATTAAATTGTTACAAAAATAATTAGAGATCACCAGAGTCTTAACCTCGTTTATTCCTACTATAAACATAAACACAATAAATTCTCGGGATATCATCATAATCCAGAGAATTCAACATTAGCTAAGAAATAATACAGTTTATGTTGCATTTTTGGATATACATTGATTTTTTATGAAGAAATTTATAAAAAGGCCTATTAGTTTTAAGTGCCAAATAAATGGGTTACTGTTTCAGTGACGAGATTATTCTACCGTCTGTCCAAACAAATTTTTTACACTACTTATACGTTAATATTTTCCAATAAAATAGAAAAAAATTTAAATGTAGAACAAATACAACTTTGAGTTACTATTAAAATTTTAATACAAAATTTTAACCTTGCTTATTCACTTTAATTAAAAAAAAAACAGTCTTAGTGCATGGAAATAATATAGAACTGATACAGGCTATTCTTTTGCTGTAAAAAAAATGATACAGGCAAGCAATTTACCCCTTCAAATTAACTAGATTAGATTAGGAGTTGGACATTATTTGTCCTTGTCCACCGCGACCTATTCAGATCTATTGTGGGACTCCGTTTGTTTTAGAATATGTCGTCTAGCCTGGTCTTTTTTATTAGACTTAGTAGCTTTGACAGTGGCTCCCGCATGTTAGAAACCTCATTCCAGCCAGGCCTAACTAAAAAAATACATCAATCGATCAATAAAGGGACCGAAATGATTTTGATTCTGTGTATATTATTCTAATAAGAGAACAGGTGTTTAATTGACTTGGAGAAGTCTTTTGACAAAGTTAAAAGAGCTGATATATGTATTAGAGAAGATGAGTCCATAAATTTTCTGAATGGCCATCAAATTTCTGACTTTCTGTTGCTTGTAAATCGTCTCAAAAATTAAATTTTACATGAAACAGATTTTAATATTTTCACATTTCTGACATAAACATTAGGATTAGAACATAAATCAAATGTTCGCTGATTTTACAGAAAGTAGAAACACTTTGTTAGAGGAGCAAAAGCAGTTTTCATTGGTATTAAGAATATGTTCTTTCTTAAACAAAAAGCAGATATGAAATTTGCCTTCACTATGCCATATCTGATGTTTGGGAGGGAAGTATGGACAACACAAAAACAAAGTATCAAAATGTGTTCCCTCTGAGAAAAAGAGAATAAATTAAGATAAAATAGATTCAGAGAAAAATTAAAAACTAAATGAATACAATAGAAACTTTTTCTTAAAATAAAAGCTGCCAAGATAAAAAAATATTTTTAGCACTTAAAAAAAGAAAGGTAAATTGCTTGCCTATATTATGGCGCAAGATTTTAAAACCCTCACAAAACCCAGTTACTCTACTCCGAGATTTAGAACAATATAAGTTCTCTGTGCTATTTTGACTTGTTTTACTGCATATTTTCTATTAAAAACTAATAGAGCACCTTTTTGTACTATTACAGACAATAATAGACGAGAGAACTTTATTATTAGATTAGAGTTACTTACAAATTTTGAAGCAATTTTCAAAACTCTCCATAATTCTTGTCACAGTAACTAAGAAAAATTCAATTTTCGAATATTGAAAATCCTATTTATTTTATATAAAAAAGCGATTAAAGATATTTTTGTTTGTTTTTTAAAGAGAATGATTTAAGAGTACTAAAAAAATCAATATACAAAACGCAACAATCTATTACTTAAAACCAACCTATTGTAGGCGACCTGAGTCACTAGAAAATCTAAATAAGTCTATTCTAATCTCTTGGGTAGTATTCCGACATAAGTTTCACAAAAGTTTCCACAGACGAACTTGGCTCTTCGGTTTCAACTTTTTTTTCTGGATTGTTTTCTTTCACATCTATATCCATAGGGGTAGGTGTTTCATCCTCTTTATCTTTTACATCAACTGTATCACTGGTAACAATGTCTTTAACTTCTGCTTCATCAGATTGATTTTCTAGCACTTCTGACTTTTCTTCTATCAGGTCTACTCCATCTACTTCTTTTAGAATGTCTGTCGAACTGTCAACTACATTCTCAGATTCCCTATCTTCTGATGCAGATTTTATTTCATCTATTGTCTCTTTTTCTTGTACTGCTTCTTTATGTTCGGCTTCCTTTTCTTCTGATTTTTCTTCTGCTTCTGAACTAGTTTCAGATATTGATGTGATTTCTGTAGAATTGAGACTCTCTGAAGAATTTTCCGATGATATTTCTTCAATGGGTATTTCTGGTGTATCTTGTTTACTTTCTGGAGATGTTGATTCAAAAGTAGTTTCTTCAGATGGAGGTATTAGTGGATCTGGTTTGTTTTCTGATACTACTGTTTCTTCTTTAATGATGTCATGTTGGTCTTCTTTAGGCTGAGAAAAAATAAGTTATTATTAACTAATTATTGAATTTTATGTTATTTTACTTACCACAATGGTATCTTCAACCTTGGGAACCTGCTCAGTTGGCTCCTTTTCTTCTGGGATGGCTTCTTTTGATTCAGATGCAGATGCTGAAGAATCACTACTATTGCTACTGCTTTCTTCAGATAAGTTTTGATAGGTAGTTTCTTGTGAGTCAACTGAAACATAAGTTTCTATTGTCTCTTCAGTACTTGTACATGTTATAACAGTCTCTTGAGGTTGTGGTTTTGGTTCTTCATTGTCACTACTGGATGTTATTTCTGGAAATTTAGAGAATATTTATAATCCCAGCATTACCCACCAAATAGTGAAGCTGAAACTAGCAGCCTATGTTAGAAATCAAATATGACAAAATAAAGCCATTTTCACTACTTGAATTATGTTATAATAATATTAATAATAAATCAAAGTATATCTATTTCCAGACAAATAAATATTATGTAATTAAAATCAAATGTATATAGGTACCTACTTTGGAGCAAAACCAGAGTTGTCAGGTAAAGTTTTTTTTAGGTTTTTAAAGGGTACAAAAATTAGTGTATATGAAAACAAATGCAAATTTTTTATCAAACATTATACCACTGTAACTTCTCGATATTGATATCGGGATGGTAGAGTAGGTGTCTACGGCGCTCGCATTCATTTGCGAACCAATTTTGTGGTAGAGAGACACTGGGCTTCGAATCCTACAGAAGACCATGTGAATTTATTTGGATGGTTCTCTACAGGATTTGATGAATGCTGTATTGCAGAAATTTAATTTATGTTGATATGACATCCAGATTATAAAAATCTTTAAGTCGTTTCGGAACGCCATGGCAAATAATAATAATGACTTCCCCTACAAAGTTGCTCAGTCAGCTCAGGGGTTGAAATTCACTTGTAAGGGGTGAATTAGGGAGAGTATTATTATTAATGATAGTAACAATTAAAAAAAATATTTTTTTACATTTTTTAGTTTTTCTTGTTTGTTTGCAGAATGTGATTTTTAAAGTAATAAAAATCTATTTTTGCTTGTATATTTTGTTCAACTTTATTAATAATAACTTTTAAACTAAAAACTTTAACAACTATAAAACCTCAAAAAAGCTACTTAGGCATACATTTTTTATTTATTAGGTTTATTCCAACCCTGAGCAAAACCTTGAACATTAAACTTGTTTTTTATGACCAAACATCATCAAAGTTAGGCTAAATCGGACATCAATGGATTTCTTAAGCAAGATACAACATTAATAAGTCAAAAGAAAAAAAATATCAATACCGAATTGTTGAAATTTTTATACTAGAGTGATACCTACTTGAAGAAAAAAAATTATTGATGTCTCATTTAACCCAGCCTGATAAATTTTTCTGAAATTACATGTTTTATATTTAAGGTTTTGCTCCAAAGTACCTATATCCATTTGATTTTTATTACATAACATTTATTTGTCATAGATAGATACATTTCTATATTCTTGATCGTTTCAGCCTTTACTTGATGAAAATTGATATTATTAAAATGAGAAAAACCAAACATGGTAGATTTCACAAACACTTTTATTTAAAAAGTAAAAAGAAGAAATTTGAAGTTTTACTTCGAAACAATTGTGGTGTTACCTCTCTATATTATTATTAGAGCATAATTCAAGTATTGAAAATTGCTTTATTTTGTTATAATATATGACTAATGTCCATTTTCTAACACAGGCTACCAGTTTCAGCTTCACAGTAAATATAAGTTAATTTGTTACTTCATTTGCGACTATATTTAAACATATATTATCATTTTAAAAGATTTTTTCTAAAGGAGTTAAAGTATCGAAAACCTAGGTAATAATCGAGGCTGAACACAATGTAATATTATTCAAAAACTTACCAGGTTTTGTTTCCTGATCATTTACAAAAGGTGTTGAACTTGTCTCTGTGGTTGGCTCTACTTCATTTTTCGACAAATCTTCATTTTCAACATTCTTATACAAAACTGGGGTAGCTTGTTCATGTCTAGACCAATTTGAAGGACTTTCGTCCATATCTTCTATATTTATATCATGACTAGAATTGCTACTTTCAGGCAGATGTTCAGACTCTATACCATTCATAATTCCTTCCCCATTTTCGGTTGACCTTCGGCCTGGCTCTGTTGTACTTACAACTAAAATATTCTTTTCCAATGCTCTCATATACTTGTCTATTCGATTATATTCCTTTCGGGGGGTTGTTAACAACTCACAGATTCTCTGCACTGTAAAAGGGGCAGCAGCGAATGTATCAAGCTTCTCTAATATAAAATTTTTCATCATATCATAATTAAACATTTCTACGTTAGGACAAGGTGGTATGTCCATAGAAGGGCAGGATTCGTAGAACTCAGTAATCACATTGATGAGCTTTTCCCGAAAAAGGCTCTTTATTATTGACCATTGGTAAATGGGGTTGCCTGTTTTGGCAACAAAACAAAGATACTCTTCTAACTCACGTGGAATGTCTTTCGGTTTCATTTTTGAAAATTCTTCTAGACTGTGTAATATTTCTTCAGGGTTTTCCATTTTAAATACACTAAAAAACTGTTTTAAATTCTATTCGGCCGAGTTTACTAAAAAACAAAAGATCGGAAATTGTTAACTCAACTGTTGTTCTGTCTGCTGTCACTAGTCAAACGCGTCAAGAACGTCAATGTCGTATCGCCAGGGTGACCAACATACTTTTTAAACGTACTAGATCAACACTGGAGTACACCTATAGAGTAAACGCAGTAACGAATTCGACGTTGCCATAAATAATATTCTGATTTCTGCGGAATATATTCATAATTCATATCGAAGTAGGAAAATTAGTTATTGTGGTATTATCATAGTTTATTATGTAAAAACAGTCATACTTATTTAAAAATTGAGATTCGGCTCTTGGGACAGTTGGTCTTGCGATGTTTAGGCCAAACTTGGTGTATAGATGCATGTTTCAATAAATATGAAAATAAAAAAAATGCTGACCCACCCACGCTCCCAGCTGATATGTAGAGGGTGTCACCGCCAATAATTAAAATTATAATTTTTTCAATAAAACAATTTAAATCTACGATTTTTTCTACCAACAAATAAGTTTAAACTTTTTTATTTTGTTTTTCTTTTTTATTTTTTTTTTTATTTTTAAAGTGATCCTACTTCGGATATGGGACTAGCATTTAATAATAAATACAGAAAAATCTAATTTTTGCCACATTTATAATAGATCTGATGTACTTAATGTACTTGAATAAAAAAATTTACCTCCCTCATCCCCTAGAGGAAGATGGAGTGTATGTCATCCCCAAAATACAAAAAATGAAGTTAGAACTTTTTAAATAAAATTATTGAAATTTACGATTTTTTCTACATCCATATGTAAATTTAAAATTTTTGACAATAATTTTTTCTCTTCATGTACTAACATTTTTTTGACCTGTATCCTCATACGGGGTTTGACATTTAATAATAGTTACAGAAAATGTTTGGCATATTTACTATAGACCAGACAACTTATTAAAATATTACCTTCACCATCATTTCCTAGAATGGAATCAAAATTTTTTTTACCTAAAATTTTAAATTTTTATGGCAAAAATGTTTTTAGTATTATTACATTCAGAAACTCGTAGGATGCAACCTTTACCTTTATTTTTGTACCCACTTCCGAACTTGAAAAACGCTCAGTCCGTAAAAAATAAAATAAAATTGTCAAAATGAATTTTAAATTAGAAAAAAAATTTAGATTCCAACGGTTCAATTTTAAAGCTTCAAACCTCCTCTAAGGGGTGTAGGGGGTGATTTGTATACGTTGTAAATCAAGTCTATTATTGTAAATTATGATTTGTATTTTATGATTGCATTTTATCATAAAATTTGAAATACTTGGTTTGTGTGTAAAAAAATCGTTGATTCAAACTGTTTAATTTAAAAAATTGTAACTTCAATCAGCTAGGGGGTGGGGGGCTGGATTTTTTGTAGATTTTAATATTTATGGGAAAATATATCCCTATACCAATTTTCGATGTTTGGTTTCAATATCTCGACCCGAACTGCCCTAGCCCCAAGAGCCGAACCCCAAACTTTTCTTATTTAAAATTTAAAAGTACCTATACATGTTTACAATAACAAACATCAGTTATTAATTAAAATTAACAATAGAAATTGTTGTTGTATTCAGTAAATAGTTGAATTAAAATGTTCGTTACTAAATAAAAAAAAAAAATTTGTAGATTCGGAAAAATGTAGTTTTAAATTTCTGAATTCAGATTGTAAAGAACTTTTTGGTCAAAATGGCCTCCAAACTTTTTGTTTTGTTTTTTTTATCTAATGTTGATTTCATATTTGTGTAATTATAGTTTGTATGAAAGTTTGATTAAACACCTTCGGTCATAAAGATAAATTGCTATTATACAGACTGGGCTACTCAAAAGAGTTCACCTTGTTATTTGGCAGTATTCATTGAATTTTAAGAAAACGCTGAAACAGGTCGATTTTTATTCCAAAGGAGGCACATTTTTGCAATACAGAAATCTGTCATATGCCAACCCTCTCCCTTGCACATCTCCAACCCCTTAAGTTTAAATAGGGAATATACCATATGTGGCACATCATTAGAATGGTATCGCAATGGACTATTCAGGCACATGATCATATAGCTTTTTTTTTAAATTAACTTCATGTTTGTAAACAAGTTTTAATTTAATTATTAACGCCTATGTTGGTTAATGGGTTTAATTTTTTTCATCATATCACTTTAAAAATTCAATAAAACAAATTATGCAAAAATAATAAAAAACTTTATTAAATGTAACGTAGATAAAATTAACTAAATTTGAAGAATTTATTATTCTATTAATGCTAATTATTGAATAATTAGATGTTCAAAATATTCTCCATCGACTTCCATACAATAATTGTAAAGGCGCTGTTCGAAATTACATCGAATGTTTTGAAGCATTTTAGGGGTTATTAGACTAAATTCATGCACTATTCGTCGTCCGAGTTCTTCCAACAAAGCAGATTCAGTCTTATAAATCGTACTCTTTAAGTCAGCCCATAAAAAGAAATCCAGTAGATTTAAATCAGGGACCTTGTTGGCCATTCAATAAAGCCCCTTCTTCAAATCCATTGCATTGGAAATCCATTCATTGAGGTATTGCCTTACGACTCTGCTATAATGCGGAGGTGCGCCATCTTGATGGAAAAACAGATCATCTTCTGAGTACCTACGTTTTATCATTTTCAATTATATCTGTCACAGTCACAGATTTAGAGTGTTAGGAGATGGGCCAATGCAATAAACCAAAAAAATTATTATAGTGAGCCGCCATCTTTTTATTTTTGGGAGTAGTGAGCGTGCGCAGAAAGGAGTAAACAGGTCCTTACTTAGAATAATGGACAAAATAAAACTATTTTGTTTAGGGTTGTAATTAACTGAACAGTATTTAATTCATTATGTACAGTAAAAATATTATAAACAGTCAGTAAAATATTGTAAAAAACTCAGTACTTTTATAAAATATGATGAGTAAACATTAAATTTTGTAGCAGTAAAATTACTATTTGGCCTGTATTTCTATGTTCACTTTTGTGATTATAATGGTCAGTAAAAATTAATGAAATGTCAGTATGAATTAGCCCGTAATAATTCTACAAATGGTCAGTAAGAATTAATAAATGGCCAGTATGCAGCAGTCGGTAATAATTTTAAAAATGTGCATTAAATAAGTAGTATTATATTTTTAGATCGAGTGTTTCATGTTTTTGAGCTACCGGTTTGCAGCAAAGAAGAAACTGAAGATTTTGTTTTCTGTTTAAAACAATTAAGTCTGCCTGTCAGGATATATTTCAAAAATCAATTGCCCCAAAATACACTCGCGTATCGGGGACAACACTAATGATTTGTAATTGAGGTGGTGGGTATGTTTGTGTAAATGCGTCTTGTTTGTTTTCATTTACTAGCAGTAGTATTTTATAAACCATAGAAGCAAATTTCACATACATGAACAAATAATATTAATGCCGTGACAACAAGAAGACAAAGCAAAGACTTCTCGTAGGGTGGCGGCTTCGCCGCCACCAAAAAAATTTAATCCATACCTGGCTACGCCGACCGGCATAAACACCAACGGCCTGGACACAGCTCACCTACTCTGTCAAAAGGAGACCGATGTACAAATAAAACGCGTATTATTATACTGACCATTTATTATTTTTACTGACCATTTATTATTTTTACTGACCATTTATTATTTTTACTGACCATTTATTATTTTTACTGACCATTTATTATTTTTACTGACCATTTATTATTTTTACTGCCCATTTATTATTTTTACTGACCATTTATTATTTTTACTGACCATTTATTATTTTTACTGACCATTTATTATTTTTACTGACCATTTATTATTTTTACTGACCATTTATTATTTTTACTGACCATTTATTATTTTTACTGACCATTTATTATTTTTACTGACCATTTATTATTTTTACTGATCATTTATTTTTATACTGACCATCTGCAGCAACAGATTTAAAAATGATATCTTTTCCTTTTTCGCAACCGCTAAAAGCGTGGAGAAATACGATAATTTCTTTCAAATGCGGGTACTTAAAACTATTTACATTGTATATGTCACTTGAGGATGGACCTCTGTTAATTTTTGTAAAAACAATATCCAGTCCTTCATAAAATTGCGTGAGTAAGACAAGTACATCGATGTCCTCGACAATTATTTGGACGAAACTTTCTTTTCTTGCTTCATCAATGGCTTTCCGTACAATGTGGATATCAGCATCTTCTTAAGTTTGAAAAACATTTATATTTGCATGTTCAAAATGCTCAGTCAAATCGCTGATAAGAAGCTTTTTATTGTCTTCATTGCTCAGAAAATCTTCCTGAGAAACCCCACATTCTTTCTCTCTAGCCAGAAATAGCATGGACGGAGAGTGGCGTTTTTTGACCTTCTTGCTCTCTCGAAGCTTCTTGTGCTGTTGTCTAAAAAAGGACAACCATCGAAAACTACAACACATTGTTTATATTGTGCAAGGTAGTTTCTATATTTCTCAATGATCATTTGAAAAGTGTCCGTCGCTTTCCAAAACACCCGATGTAGTAAAAATCCGCCATCAATTACAGTCATAGCATTTGGGGGTATTATATAGTCTTCTAGACGTGTAGAAAGGCCATATAATTTAGATTTCTCTGTTTTATGAAATCCTATTACCATCAAAGATCGAAGCTGGGAACGCAGCCAGTTCATAATCAAGATAATCTTCCAGATTAACTTCATTCTTGGAAAGTACAATACGACGAAACACATCATTTGCATCAACAGCAATAGGTGCGTTTTTTGCAATTTTAGGGGTGGTTCAACCATTGCTGCAAGTTTAAATCCCCATTTTCGTAATCAGCGCCCCAAAAAACATATAAGATGACTTAGTTCACGAAACACCGTGACGGGTAATTTTTTCCGAAAATTCACCCCTTGGGAGGGGTGTTTCTGGCATGTGGGGGGTGTCACACAAATTTTCCAGTCTCGACACCCTGATTTTCGAAATCAGCGCCACAAAAACATATGAGATGAGTTAGTTTGAAAAACAACAAGTACAGTCGAAAAACACCCCCTATTTAGGTTTGTTTTGTGCAATTTTAGGGGTAGTTCAACTATTGCTGCAAGTTTTAACCCCGATTTTCGTAATCATATAAGAAAAAACATATAAGATGACTTAGTTCACGAAACACCGTGACTGGTCATTTTTTTCGAAAATTCACCCCTTGGAAGGGATGTTTCTGGCATGTGGGGGGTGTCACACAAATTTTCCAGTCTCGACACCCTGATTTTCGAAATCAGCGCCACAAAAACATATGAGATGAGTTAGTTTGAAAAACAACAAGTACAGTCGAAAATTTGTGCAATTTTAGGGGTAGTTCAACCATTGCTGCAAGTTTTAACCCCGATTTTCGTAATCAGCGCCCCAAAAAACATATAAGATGGCTTAGGTTGCAAAACAACAAGTACAGTCGAAAAGCACCCCTAACTGGGGGTGTTTTTTTTGCAACTTTAGGGGTATTCCAACCATTGCTGCCAGTTTTAACCCTCATTTTTGTAATCAGCGCCCCAAAATACGTAGGAGATAAGTGGTCTCGTCAAGTGCGGCGTTTCTCGACCTTTTACCGTTATTTTAAGGGTCGATCTTTTCACCTTCAGATAAAGTGTCAGGTAATTTTTATCTTCCAAGTAACTTAAAAAGTAATCTTTTCACCTATGGATAAACTTAACTTCTAAATGATAAATTATCTTATTTATGAAATTTCTGATAAAATACTTCACTGATGGATAAGCAGGTAGTTACATGACCACATAAGGTTAAAAACTACTGGATACCTACCACACATATTATTTACTTGAAAAAATAGAAAATTAATTATCTGACAGACAGTAACTCTCAGATAATATATCCGTCAGTTAGTTATCTGGAACTTTATCTAAAGGTGAAAAGACCAACCCTAAATGGACTAATGTGCCGGTGGGTATGTGCTTCGTGAAATCCTCTAGGATTTTCATCAGACCAGACAATTATTATGTCAAAAAGAATCATTCTTCTGAAAAACAAATATTAAATAATTTCACAAAACTGTAGTCGCCTCATATTAATTTATTTCTGGTACCAACTGGATCGTGTGGGGTTGAAATTTACTCTACAAACACTACTTCTTGAGAAGACAAATTCTTCAAGCAAATTTCGTGTAGATACTGGATGTAGGATACAAATTAATATGGCCTACAATTGCTACTTCTGCTGCTTCGGTCCTAACTCGCTTTAATACGTATGAGTAATAAAGTTGATTTTCTTCGTGAAGCTGATTAAACAAACTTGCTGTTCTGGTTGTACACTTCCCGTTTTCAAATTTGGAAATAATTTAAACTCGTTCTGCAATAGAATAGACCATTTTAAATTGTTCTGCTATAAATATTCTTTTTCCTCTATGAAACTATTTTGTTACAGGTTTCTCCCACCGAACTGGAAAACTTGATCATGGAAATAGAAGGAATTACAGACGTAGCAGTAGTGGGAGTTCCCGACTCTTTAGCCGGGGAAGTTCCTAAGGCGTACGTTGTCCGAAAATCTGGTGTCAACATCAACGAAGAAGATATTCAACGATGGGTTAACGGAAAAGTGGCGCATTACAAAAAGTTGGTGGGTGGTGTTAAGTTTATTGATGCTATTCCCAGGAACCCTAGTGGTAAAATTCTTAGAAATGAATTAAAATTGAACGTCTAAGTTTTTAGATATTATTTATATTTTTTTGCAAACCGGAGTGTTAGGAAAATTACGCTATGCGTATAACAATCTTCTCTGTGACTTAGTTTGGCAAAATAATTATGTTTTTATTCCCAAACTCATATTTCTATAGATAGTTTAAATTGTAAAGAAAATAATATAGTTGACTCTGTTATTGTTATTGAAAATCTAACTTCATTAGTTAGGTTTTCGTTAACATTTTCCGTAAAACTTTATCTGTTTATTTTAATGAATTTTTTACACTCTTTTTTTCTGCCATTTACAAAAAATGTATGATTGTAAATATCTTAAAATAATTAGTAGGTACTTTTATTTAACCCTGCATTTTAATATTGGTTGCAACTCAGCCTAAAGTGCTTAATTTTATTATTTAGGAACCGTAGTTTTTTATTTAAAAAAATGTTACTATAATTTTACTAGTATTGTATGTGTTGTGTACTTATACATTTTTATAATATTGAGGAATATTTCTAAAATAAAAGTTTACTTTTCTTTTTTATAACTACGATCATTCTTATCCTTCATCTCAACTACTTAAAAACAGAAATATAAAATTTGATTTTAAGTGAAGGTGCCAAATTTATATTTTTTTAAACTTCTTGGAGTTATCGGCATCAACTGCAAAATCAGTGGAGAGTGGAGAAAAATGGAATTTAGCTTGGAAAAGATGGGATAGAGATGATTTTCACGCATAAAGTAAGTAGCAAGTATAGTAATATAGTTTGTTCAATAAGAGTGGATATTATAGCCATATTACACGAAGAATGAGCACGATGTCGTAGACAGAGTGCTCAAACGACTTGTACGGTATATTTTTCATGACCCACTAAATAAAATTACAAAATTTTAAAATCTAATTAGGAGGTTATTACGATAAAATATTTTAAAAACAACATTTAACAAAAAAAATTTAATATTTGTTTTTACCAGTGTTATTGAAGAATTCGTAGGCACTAGGCACTCCTATCGTAGGCCCCAAAATAAAATTATTTTTTTGTAACATTATGCAAATGCGAAAGTTAAGTGCACTTAATAATTAAAAAAAATATTTCTAAATTCAAATGTGACCAAAACGTAAAATAATTAAAAATATTAATTTCTCTAAGCCATGTGTCACAAACTGAAATGAGCAACCATTTCTCTTTAGAAAACCGCTACATCTTTGGCTAATACCGCTACAGGCATTTAATTATATCCAAAGAAAACTTTAGAGATAAAAATTTAATTTCAACTCCTTAACTTTGATTTTGCTTACTAAGGAGAACGTCATGCTTGGACCGGTTTCGTCCTTATTAGGACTCGACATCATGAAATAGACATTTGAGATTGTAATCGACAATGTCTGGGATTACTATGCACCTGACATCAGCCATATCGATTAACTATCAAGTGTATAGTTATGAGGTACGTCTCAAAAATAGGTGGTATACATGAATTATTTTTTTTTGTTCATGTAGAATATCATGATGCCAAATATCTTTTAGAAAAAAATATGCAATTGAAAGTGGATCATCAGGACCTAGAATTGGACAAACACGCCAATTTGAAGATTTATTCTAATTTTTCACTGGTAACCCCTGTCCTAAACGCTTCATTGCTGGGCTAAAACAAAATAGTTTTTATTTTATTACTAAGTATAAGAAATTAGGATATAATACTCTGCTAATTCATGGACAGGAAAGCTCCCATATAATGTTTAATTCCTTCAAAAGGCTCAAAAACGGAACCAAGAATGTTCACAAGCTTAAAACATCATTTCGATTCGAGCAACTTTTTGTTTTTGTGTCGTCATACCTTTTGATTTTTAGAACATCACCATTCACAATCTTTTATTTATACAAACAGTTTCTGCGAAACGACAGATAAAAAAGTTTTCCATATGTATGGGGGCGTCCATTAATTACGTGAGGTGTTCAAGGGGGGGGGGGATAAAACTAAATCTTTCTAAATCTCACTTGGGGGGAGGGGGGGTTTTCGTAAATCTCACGTAATTTTTTTTCTAGTAGAAAACGGTGTAAAATTGCGTGAAAGTAAAGTTAAATTATAGTAAAAGTATTTCTAGAATAAAATATGGAAAAATCTTATAATTATGTTTATTTATTTTTTATTAATTTCCATTTAAGTATTTATCATTTAATTTTATTAATGTGATTTTAAATAATTGCAACACTCTCAAACACTAGTCTTTGCTAGTCTAAAATAAAAGTAATGGAACATATTGTATTTTTGTTTTTTTTTAATAATCCAACACATTTACACCCAAAACACGAATTTTGAAAAACCTCACGTGAGATTAGGGAAGGGGGGGAGGGAGTTAAGGAAAATCTTACCAAATCTCGCCAGGGGGGGGAGGGGGAATCAAAAAATCCTCAAAAATACCTCACGTAATTAATGGACGCCCCCTATCCAACTATATGACGACGCTGTAAATCATAAAGTTGATAGGAACATACAAAAATAGGTGAAAATAAATAACTAGTTAAACTTTTGTAGGAAGGTGAATAAAAATACTCGTAAAAATATCTATAATTTATATCATCGTCCCCTTGTCTTTTTTGTAACCCCTTTGATAATTCCTTTGATGTATCCCAGGGAAATATACATTTTTTTTAAATCTTGACCAAGTTTAATATAATACATAATACCCTCATTCTAGTTTATCAGACCTACAGACGGAACACAAAACATAAAATAGCAAACCGGACCTCTCGCGAAAGCAAAAATAATTTCTAATATAAAATTGTATTTATATTCGTGCTACTGGGAATACTTCGTGATATTAATGTGACTTGACAATATTGAGAGCGTTACATTTGTGCAACGATAAGGCAGCACTTTACAGAGACGTTTAAAAAAAGGTGGGAAAGCATCCCATTTAAAAACTACTTGATATTTATTAAAACAGAAAGCAGCAAATTTTCATGGATTTAATACAGAATGGCGCGCAAATGTTTTTGTTTTAATTCTTTTTAAAGACTTTCCGAAGGTTTACAAAAAATTCAAGGTTTCTCCACCCTAAGTTTTGATATTATTGGAATTTCCTGAACATTTCACAAAATCTGACTAAAAATAAAGGCTCAGAAGTAATTATACATTTTCAAGGTGTTCGGTTTGCTCTTAAGGTGACCACTTCGGCCAAAGTGGGCCAAAGCGTTGAGATATTGTAGTATTATCCATGAGTAGGTAAATTAGTGTTCTGTCCAGGTTGAGTATTTGAGTAGGGTAAATTAATTTTAACAAAATGATAAAACAATTTCGTTCATTTATTTGTTTTAAGTTTTAATTATTACATTTTTCACTCTATCACTAATTGATCAGCTTCATTTTTTGCTGACGATGACGTCGCAATATTTTTATCGTGCTCGCTAGATGTCGCCTTGTAAAGTTGCGTCTGCTTAATCGCTCCATAAAGACAAAATAAGAGATATAATGACTGCACTTTTTTCTTTGCTAAGGGTATTTGAAACAAGTTGCAGACGGTGGATATATATTCTTGCAATGACATATTTTCTGGTTTAGGAAAACCATTTTGCCTTAGATCGTTTTCTACTTCTTCGGGCCATTCTTGCATTAAATCATCTAAATCTGGCATTGGCCTAAAAGGAAAACAAATCATAACTGTTATTAAACAAAATGGAAAGAAACTAAAAAGTATTTTAACAAAAAAATCTTGAATTCAATATTTCGTTTGTTTTCTTATCGCTATTTCATTTTGAGGTCAGAAATTTACATAACATAAAAATGTTATTACTTCGGAGATGTGCTTAAAAATATCTAAATTGTCATCTCAAATCGGAGTTATTTTATTTTACCTGTAATAATTCGTTTTTATTGATCTTACTATAATAATGGCAATATAGAAAATGAAAGATAATTAAATCGTCTATAAGGTCATAAACATGTTTACTCTCAGATTAACAGTTTAATTAAAGATGTGAACATTAAATACATGGTTTACATTTACAGATATGAAATTTTCAATGGCTCTAGATAATAGCTCACCACACTAAAGACCTCCTATGGATCAAAAACTGGACGATACCATTGCTGAGGAGCTCAAAATTACTCTTTGTATATTAATACACAATGTTAATACTGAATACATAAATAACTATTTTGAAATGATACAAAAATTATTTCGATAAAGGTACTTACTCTGAATAGCGCATCACGACGGACGACTTACTCTTATGCAAATCAGAAATATCTTTGATCCACTTTTCAATCGTTTTGAAATTCTTCTCAACATTATCTATCTTCTTAACCACCACATTTTGATCAATCTTCTTCCGAGGATTCCCGGAAGCGGCTCTAAGTTGCAAATAAAGAACCGCTGGATCACTTTGATGGCTAGCGGGTTCGTCCAAAACTGTGAGACCCAAATGATCAAATGTTTCTGTGCATTTTTCATCGTGGATAGTAGTATCAGGTGGGTAGACTTTGAGGAAAGCGTCTATGTCTCCGACGGCTGGTAAAAATTCTGGTGTGAACGGTTTGAATTTGTAGGTTATATTGAGCTGTTGAGGAATATACCTGAAACGGTATTTATTTATTTAATCTAGAATAAATAAATAGCAAAAAGCTCCCAAAACAATCGTAAACCTAACCTAAACACAAATCACCAAAGTGTTAAAATTTTTACGCATACGGACATGAGCATCAGATGTCCTAGTCCTTCCTCTGACTGCACAAAGTGGCAATACGTGTTTTTTGCTTGCTACTGGTAATTGGATACAGGGGAGGGAGTGAACCATATACTATATCCCGGTGGTGGCAGCTGTTAAATTCAAAGGAAAGTTGCTTTTTCGTTTGTTTGCTGCCAAGGAAATATATGCTTCTAGACGTCTAAAACAATAAAAAAATCCCTTGACAAGCATTTTCTTTGGTCCAGTTTTGTTACGTCCGCGTGACCTGATATTAAGTTTTTCAACGAAATTCGGAATGTAACTTAAACGCGGTTTTTCTGAACTCAACTATGAATATTGCCCTTGTAAGCATTTTTTATTTAGTAGTTCAACCTTCTGTTCACCCCGTGTTTTCTAAAAAAAAAGTCGAAACAGTCTAATTTATGGTGAATGAGGATAACCATAAAATAAAAATGTTTGCAAGGGCTATACTCTTAGTTAAGTGTCATACAAATATTTTGAGATCGATTAAATCACATTTTGACTTTTGGTTCTGATGATACACCTATTTCCAGGTTACAATTTTGTTGGCCGACACAAAAAAATGCTATCATCTTCATTTAAAAAAAAGCCGAATTTCGTTGAAAAACGTAAATATCCGTGACCGGATATTTGCCGAAATTCCTAAAAACCTGACAACAGAAAATGCTTGCAAAGGTATTTTTGTATTGTTACAGATATCTAGAAATATATATTTACTTAGTGGTAATTTTTAAGACTTTATTTTTGATAATAATACATTTTAGTACCTATAAAATATTAGGTTTAAAAATTCTTGGAGGGTAATTACCCCCATTACCATCACCACCCCCTGTATATGCGCCCCTGCACGACAGCTCCCACCACCGGGATATAATACATGTTTTTCACCTGCCTTACCTGTATCCTGTACCTAACTACCAGTGTTGCCACCTGGGACTCGATTCTCGACATAAATTCCTATAGGAAATAAGTCACTTTCCTATGAAAATCAAGTTTTGGTATTCTTGATATACCTATAGGAAATCAATTCCTACAAAATGAATTCCTATGGGGTTTGGCTGTAGGAATTTGGTGTTTTGACATTTGCGGTACGTGCGCAATGCTCTCAACTCTCATTGCTGTCATTTGAATACCATTGTCATTTAAATTTTGAATGATTTTTTCAGTTGTATGTTACTAAAACGGGCCTATTCAGTAACTCTGAACGACGTCGTTAATAGACGATAATCGTTCACAGACAACTTTTATTATTCAGTAGACAACGATTATCGTTGAAAATAGACAAATATGGTTGTAAAATTGTCGTTCATCAACGGTAGCCACAGAGCTGTCGTTAATAATATGAAGTGTCGTTAAAGTGATTTTTCCATTCCCTCCCATTTTTTATCGTGAGCAAAGATGTGTTTTAAATAATAAAAGCACTTTTTTTACAAATTTTACAACTAAATTGCCATCTACCTAATATAGCAAGTACAATTTGTAAGAAATTTTTTTCTAATAATATTTAATTATTTTAAAAATAAATCTGATTCAAAGTTAGTATTGCCCATTCGACCATTTACTATTGGATTCTTATTAACAGTGCTGTTCCTAAAGTAGCACTGCGAAACAGTAATAAAACCTATATTATGGAAGTACCTATTATAATAATACTACTCTGTAACCTAAACAGAAAACGAGGCTAATGGCCTGAGTTGCCAGGAAGCAGGTTTGATAGTATCAAATTTTGTTTCTGTCTTTCAAATCCAATAAATACAACTCGTACTGTTCTCGAGTTGTTTTTTGTATTCTTTTGGACTAGTTCTGTTTTTTTTTTTAATATATCCATACTCATTTAAATAAACCCTACATACAATACACCAGCAAATGGCCCGCGAGAAACAGAATTCCTACGAGTCAAGAATCGACCCCCTGATCGGGTTGTAGGTTAAGAATAATTAATATATTCTGAAAAACAAATGAATATATCTACTGGTAGAATTTTTATTTTACGTTCCAAAAAAATGTCAAATATACCGGGTGTTCAAATTAAAGTGTTACAGTTAAATGCCGCCTTTTATATAAAAAATAAAATTTTATAGTTTTTTGGGGAAAAAATTTTGGCTAAAATCGTTTTTTTTATAGCTAACCATAATATGGCCAACTTTTTTTTCGCGAAGTAGAATTCCAATAAAAAAATGTTTCCTTTAGAAGTTCCTTATTTTTTTATGAATTCTAATACCTATATAAAAAAATAGGGTTCAAATTTGAAAAAAAATCCACCTCGATATGGCCATATTATGGGTCAGCTATAGAAAAATGAATTTAGCCAAAATGTTTCCTCCAAAAAACTATAAAACTTTTGTCTGAAACTTTTTTTTATAAAATGCATATTTTCGGCGGTATTTAACTGTAACACTTTAAACATTAACGTTATAAAAGTCGTTGGTTGAACTGTCGTTAGCTTAACGATGTCGTCCATAAACGATAAATTACTGAATAGGGCCCTAAATTTATTATTTTATAACTCTCATCATGCTCAAGGAACGCTATTAATTTACGTTTCTGTTCTTCTGACAAAAAACCCATTTTTTTTATTTTCGCTCATCTTATGTACACCACAATGTCAGTATTTCTTAATTTAGATATAAAACAGACAAATCAAAAACCATGTACCTAAATAAAATCAAACTAACCACGAAATTTAAAAATAAAATCAAAATATATATTATAACCAAAGTTTTAAAACTGCCCACAATACCCACATCTACCAACATGTAGGATCAAAATTTTATGAAAAATTACCGAAGGTGATTGGTGGTTTTAAATGATTGTTTGAAGTTATCACAGACATACCCTACTTTCAATTCCTATAGGATTTCAGATTCCTATTTGATTCGAGAATACATGTCATTGAAGTCGTAGGAAAATACTCGTAGGAATTTGTACTATAGGAATTATTTCCTACAAAGTCGAGAATCGAGCCCCTGGGGGTCGATTCTCGACTTGTAGGAACCTTTTCCTATAGGAATTTGTGACACTTTCCTATATCATTGCGTTCGGTCTGCCAAGTTCCTTTAACTCCTTTAACACTTTTAACTCCAAACGACTCTTTTAGCGTTCGGTTTAGTCCGATTAGTGACAGTTTAACACGCTTAAATGTCATTTAAAAGCACCCTAAAATTTGTCCCGCTCCAGCCCCTGACTATCCGAACTCGCCTTTTGTAGGAAAATGTCATAAATTTTCGATGTATATAAAAATTCCTATAGGAAAATATTCCTATAGGAATTTTTGACATTTTTATGTACATCGAAAATTTATGACATTTTCCTACATATAGGAAAGTGTCACAAATTCCTATAGGAAAAGGTTCCTACAAGTCGAGAATCGACCCCCAGGGCCTCAATTCTTGACTTCACCGGAAAATTTTCCCATGGATAAATATTCCCATGCTTATATTCCAGTGGTATTATAAAATGGTATTCTCGACTAGGTTAGGAACCTATTTCCTATGGGAATTTCGATTATTCGTATGTCTAACGTATGTCCGGTATTAAGTACGTAAATATTGGAAACTGACCAATCATAATCAATATTATATTTCAATACTTTCAAGTAGTAATGTTGGGATCATTGATTCTATCGTCAACTTTTGACTCTTGTTTTGCCACTTGCCGTCTTGTCAGAGAAAACAATCAACCCCCTTTTGTTAGAAAATAACGCGAAAATATATCATGTGCTGAATCTAGTACAAGGGGCACAATAAAGCCAAAACGAAGAGTAGCTGCTACAAAGTTAACTAAAACCTTGAATACTAGCCGAAATATTGAACGCATGTTACAAAATAAAAACTTTAATAAAGAAAATTATTATGACAAAAAATTCAAGTTATTAGAGAGAAATGTTTTGGCAAAAGAACGAATAATTTGTGCCTTGGAAAAAATAGCAGAAACAAAGGAATTTTAAGGATTTTTAAGAGTGTTCAATATTTTAGCTTCAAGTTTTTTTAACATCTCATTATGTTATTAACAGTTGCTATTTATTTTGCGTAATAAAACATAATTTATTCTGAAATAGCCTATTCCTAATAATGAAACAAAATATATTCTGGGATTGCTTATTCTAGAAAACTTGCGTTGATTATATTTGAGAAATTGTCTATCATTTAAGGATTCAAAGGGATCCCCTGCCTCATTTTTTCACTTAGACCAAAAATCTCTTGGGACATTAATTGCTCTTCTTTCTGCCTCTTCTATATTGTTTAATTGGGAAAGTAAAATAGCTTCATCCATTTTAGGAATGGTATATTAGTAATAATATACCATGAGTAATAATAATATATAAATATTATTATTTGAAGTAACTAGCAAATGTCACCGGTGACAGATTCCCATTGGAAATTTGTTTTCCCATGCCAAATACCAGGTGTGTTTGCTCCCATACTTTTCGTGAGAAAATATTCCTAGTGGATGTGTCGAGAATACAAAATATAAATTCCCATAGGAAAATTATCTTTTTCCCATGGGAAAAAAAAGTCGAGAATTGAGGCCCAGGAGGGAAAGTTCCCGTTTTGCGGGATTTTTTAACACAAAAGGGAAAAGTTTAGAGATGTGTTGCGATTTCGCTGTCAGCGATTTTGTCGCCGCTACTTTCCTGTCACTGGAGCGAACAGCTCCGGTTCTTTCAAAATCACTGCGACTTTTTGGAGCTGGGTTTGATTTAGGCACGTTTTCATTAAATGTCGCATCGCATATTTATCTGATGTGAACTGGAACTGCGATCAGAACGAAAACTATTATAAGCTTCTAATCGCAGTCGCTGAAATTTGTATAAAACAAATAGGACATCTACAATAGGGTGGCGCAAAAAAACGACTATTTTTTTTA